CCTACAGGCCCTAGACTCAGACTGGTACCCGCTAGACCTAGCCTACACTACCGGCCTCTAAAAATGCCACTTTTGTCTTCTTCTGCTCGGCCTCCGGTACCTGCATATTTACCCCCCTGCCGCGTGCGGTACCGGCCTACCCGCTACTTGAGTGCTTTTTCCCCGTTGCAACCCTTCAAAGCCACGACCATAGGTAAGTACCGGCCCTGAGGGCCCAACGAACGAACAAGTGCCCTGGCGGGCCACACACACACACTCATACCAACCAGCACTCAGACAGGCACAGTCACACGCACGCAAGCCAACCAGCACTCAGACAGACATGCAGTCCAGCAAGCACACACACACACAGACTTAGCAGGCGGGAACTCAGTACGGCATTCAGTCTATGAGCAAAACAAAAAAATCAGCGGTGTGTTTCAGTCCATGTCTGGACGGGTTATCACATTACCCCCCCCTCAAGAGCGAGGTCCCTTCCAGCAAGTAACTCATTCTGAGTCCTCGGCGAATGCATCGTAGGCGAGCAAGGCAAAGAGATTCCTGGAATACTCTGTTGCAGTGAGCCTTGCTGAGATCTTTGGTGCGGCGTTAGCAGGGATTTGTCGCTCGTAGGCTTTCACAACGCGAGGTGCGCTGCGTAGCAGTTCTTGTTTAGAGATCCTGTACAGATCGTTTAACGGGTGACACATAAAATGAACCTGGCACCGTCTGTTTCTCCCCTTACCTACATGTTGTTTGATTCTGTCTATCTCATGCCCGCCCTTGATTGCGCGAGGGATCATATCTTCGCGGTAATCGAATGTCTTGGCATCACGGTGGATATACAATTTAGATGCATGGAACACGGGATATGTGCGCAGGTGAGCTGGCACGTCTACAACGTACGAAGGGCCAAAGTGATCTTCCCCAATTACATCCAAGACTTCCCAAGGGCCGTAGTAGAGTAGGAGTTTGCGTGAGACTCCCTCCTCCTCTGAGAATTCAGACATCTTCACCCTGACATAGCTTTCTACCTGAATCTCCGATGGTCGGCGCTTTTTGTTCGCATGGTGGATCATGGCATGCTGTCGCTTGGTCATAGCTGCAATAGCAACTTTGAGCAAGCGATCATACTTAGCCCTAGCCGGGCCTCCCGGGTGTTAAGCCAGCTGGCTGCTCAGGGAATAAGTAGGAGAGCGGATTACGGATCTGCCAACCGTAGTGCAACCTGTTGGGTGTCATGGCGGTGGCAAAATGGACGGAGTTGTTGTACAACCCCTTAACAGAATACAACTCCTCATCCCATGTCTCCTGGTCCGGAATAATCAACGCGCGGAGAAGTTGAAATACAATCAGGTTGATCTCCTCAGCCAAACCGTTGGCTTCGGGGTGTCGGCCAGATGCCATGCACAGTTTGATTCCTAGGTGAGACGTGAAGTCCTTCCATTCAGTACTAATGAAACGCGGATCCCGATCGCTTACAAGAGTCTTCGGGGTTCCGAATTCCAGAATGTATTTCTGTTGGAATTCACGAATCACTAGATCTGTTGGGCGTAGGGCGACAAAGGGATCAGATTAAGAAATTTTGAAAATCGGTCAACAATCACCATGACTTGTGAATAACCGTTTTTGCTTACCTTACCCATGTCAGTGAAGTCGATGGAGACAGACTCCCGGGGACCATTGGGAATGGGTAGGGGTGTGAGTAGCCCCATGGGCTTTTGTCTGCATAGTTTGATCCGTTGACAAACTTGACATTCAGCCACAAACTTCTCAGCAGCTCCTTTCATGCCAGGCCAATCAAACTGTCTCAGCAAATTAGCGTACGTTTTTGCCATGCCGAAGTGCCCGCTCCGGTCATGAGCCAAATCCAGAAAGTGTGTGCGGAGAGGCTCATGGTTGGGCACACACAAACGGTCATGGTTCTCGTAGCGGCGGAAGATCAGTCCCTCAAACTCGTGAAAATCAGGCTGACCACCTGGATCAACCCGTAGCCGCTCAAGGATGGGACTGAGTTCCGGATCCTTGGCGGTGTGCTCTACGAGTTCCTCCTTCAGTTTCTTCTGGAGGTCGTAGGACTTAACAAGGCAAGTCATGTACTGTGGGTGGCGAGACAAAGCATCAGCTACTCGGTTATAACAACCTTTCTTATGCCTTAATTCAAAATCAAAAATGTCAATCTCGTGGAACCAACGAAGCAAGGTAGGGGACAGGGTAGTTTGCTGTTTGATCCACTTCAGGGTCTCGTGATCTGAGAAGACCTTGAAATGGCGTCCCAAAAGGTAGTAGTTCCAGTAATCCAATGCCATGCGCAAGGCATAAAGCTCGCGCATGTAAGTGGAAGTGGCTACCTTGACGCTGGGCATGCGTTTGCTGTAATATTCGAGTGGGCGCAAGCTGTCGCCGTCGTCTTGCTGCAGCACTGCACCGATTCCATACTGGCTCGCATCCGTAGTGGCTACGAACGTCGGTTTGGGATCTGCAATGCGGAGTACTGGGTAACTTACCAAGGCTTCCTTGAAAGCTCGAAAAGCTTTCGTACACGCGGCATCCCAGGAATAAGGCACATTTTTACTGGTTAGTCGCGATAATGGATGAGCAATGATAGAAAAACGAGGTACAAACTTCCGATAATACGATGCGAGACCAAGGAAAAAATGCAATTCGCGAATATTCGCAGGCTGAGGCCAATCACGTATGACCTCAATCTTGGTTGCCTCAGGCTCTAGGCCTGCAGCAGACAACCGATGCCCGAGGTAGATGACGCTAACCTTCCCAAACTCAGATTTCTCCAAGTTGAGATGAAGTTGCGTCTTCTTGAGGATAGCGAGCACTTCCTCAACATGCTTGAGATGTTCCTCCATGGACTTGCTGAAGATCAGGATATCATCAAGGTAGACTACCACGAACCGGTCAATCTGTTCGCGGAGGATCTTGTCCATGAGGCTTTGAAAGGTGGTTGGTGCGTTCGTGAGACCAAAGGGCATTACGGTGAACTCGTAAAGCCCATTGCGAGTTTTGAACGCAGTCTTGTGCTGGTCCGCAAGATCGACTTCAATCTGGTGGTAGCCAGACTTGATATCGATCTTGGAGAAGACCTTGCATCCACCCGCGGCGTCAAGCAGGTCATCTATGCGGGGCAAAGGGTAGGCGTTCTTTTTTGTGATGCGGTTTAAACCGCGGTAATCAATACACATGCGGAGTTTGCCTCCCTTTTTAGACACAAACAAAACAGGAGCACCAAATTCAGATTCACGAGGTTTGATCAACCCTTTGTCAATCATCTCATCGATCTGTCATCGGAGTTCCTCCAACTCGCCGGTGTCGGGACTGGTGGGTCCCGAGTAACTTCCCATCACTCGAGAGACTGAATATAGATAAATTGTTCACGACAGAGAAATCTGGAGTAAGGAGGAAAGAGAGAGAAAAGACAAAGGATTAGGCCACAGAAGGGAGTGATGCCCTTGGGTGAGAACCAGAGGAGGAGAAAACCAGCAACGGCGAGCGAGTGAGCGCAAAAATAGGGGCACATAGAACATAGTATGAGGCCGGGAGGGCCGTTGGAATGCAACAAGACCAGGGCCAAAGGGCCCTTGAACCAGCAAACACAGCACGACAACGACAAAAGAATGTGGAAGTCGAGAGATGGATGACCTCGGGGTCGTGGGAGGCTAGAGAATGAGGGACCAACATGGGGGCCACCTACGGGGGCCTCGGAGTGGAGGCCCGCGACCAAAGGAATAGGCGCGCACAAGGCGCAAGAAAGACAAGGGAGAGGGGTCGCCGTGGGGCGGCAAAGCGCCCGAGGGATGCGGGACACCTCGGGGAAAGGCACCCGGGGCCACATAGGACTAAGTAAAAATAATGGCATCCGAGGCAAAAAGTGTCGGGGACCGCCAGTGGGACCAAGTGTCGGGGACCGCCAGTGGGACTAAGTGTCGGGGATCGTCGGTGGGACTAAGTGTCGGGGACCGCCGGTGGGACTAAGTGTCGGGGACCGCCGGTGGGACTAAGTGTCGGGGACTACCGACGGGACGGATGGCGGGAACATGTGAAAGTCCCAAGAAGAAACGGCGGCACCGCATGAGGGAAAATAATAAGGGCAAGATGCACCGTCAAGATCGACATCTTGACGGCCAAGAAAATTAGCACCACTAGTGCAAGCACTAGCGGTAGCAAACGGGAAGGCCAAAAGGAAAAGAAAAAGTAAAAAAACTTGAAGCAAGAGGCATGGGAGCAATCCGAAAAATCTCGGATCAGCCTCCCGCAAGAAAATGAAGTCAAAAGAGACCCCATGTGAAAAATAGGCCTCCGGGAGAAAATCGGAGTAGGAGGGGTCACTGTGGGAGAGAAATAGGAGTAAAAGAAAGCTCCCATGGGCATGAGAGGGCCATTATTGCAGCCCGAGATACAACGGACTGCACCTTGGGCATAGGAAGGGTCAAAACTAAGAGGAAGGGGCTAGAAAAGGGCCTTAATGGCCACTTGACACTTGGCAAGCTAGAAAAAAAAGAGAAAAGAAAAAAAAACGTGGAAGAATAAAACAAAAATAGCGAGAGGGAGTGAGTGAGTTGACCGTCAGTAGGGACTGCCACAAGTAGGGACTGGCAGGTCCCTACTGTCCAAGAAAGGAGGAAAAAGAAAAGAAAAGAAAAGAGAAAAAGACCATAATGGTAAAAAACGGTCACTTGGGGAGGTACATCCATGACCAGATTCATTCTCGAATATGGCGGTTGCAATGAACTTTGATTTTCTTTGATTTTTGCAGAGAAAATCAAAGAAAATCAAGGCCCCATGCAACCGAAATAAAACGGATTACACGGGGGAGGAGAAACACATGTTTTAGGTGCATCCCGAGCCAATATTGAGCCCGACTGCACTTAGAAATTTAACGTTCCACTTTCTTTTAGCATGGGGCAAGTTGTAGGGCTGTGGGGCTAGAAAAATGGCCATGACTGCAGTCCGAGAAATAACGGATTGGGGATGTCTAGGCTAAGGGAAAATGAGCCACGGCGAGCCCAAAAGGCTAGAAAGGAGCAAGTTCGGCATGGGAGACGGTAAACGGCGACCGTAAGATGAGATCTCACGACCTAGAAAAATCGACACGCATGTAGAGATGATGGGACCACCGAGGGCAAAGGGGCCTCAAAAATAAAAATGGGACACCATCCGGGATGTGGTCGGGGACCAAGAAGGTCAAAATAATAAAAGTCGAAAAACGGGACACGCGTCGGCGGGACAAGAAAATGGAACTAGTATGGAGGAAAGTGGATGTCCCAAGGGAACCATGAGCAAGCACAAGGAAAATTGTGCAAGCAAACGGCACCGTCGAGATCAAGGATCTAGACGGTGAAAAATATTAGCACCACTAGTGCAAGGATTAGTGGGGGCAAGTGGGAGAGCCATGGGGAGAAAAGAAAGTAAAATAATGATATTGGGAGGGCTGCCCAGCAGTCCGAGATATCTCGGACTAGCTAGGCACGAGAAAATAGAGCCTCAAGAGGCTCAACATGGGAAAAAGGTTGTCCTTGGAAAATCGGAGCAAAAGGGGCTCAACATAGGACAAACGGAGGCAAAATGGAACCTTCTAGGAGCATGGGGGTGCCATTGTGGGAATCCGAGATATAACGGTCAAGTACCAGCCATAAACCTGGCCTTGAATAAGGCCCTAAGGCTTAGAAAGATGGTGCACAACAGTTTGACACTTGTCACAACTGAAATAAAAGAAAAGAAGAAAAATGAGAGAAAAAGGAGGGAGAATGAAACAAAGAGGGAGAAAAGAGTGGAGGAGAGTGTGCCGGCCTATTGGGGCCTGCACAATAGGGACTGACAGGTCCCAACTATGACCCCATCCCTCCTAGAATGAGGGAGGGAAATCCGGATTGCAGAGATATGGCCCTTGGGGCCATATCTCAATAAAATCTGAATTAAAAAGAAAAAAATGAGAGAAAATGCAAAAGAGAATTGACCGATTTTTTTTTGGACCATGGATCTGAGATCAGATCTCGTGGTGGAGAGGAACTAGCCATTTTTTGTGGGCCAGCTCAAAACGGCTAGCTCCGGAATGAGGTGGTAGCCCAAAATGGAAAGAAACAAAAGAGGGAAAGGGACAAAACTGTGCATTTGGCCCAAAAAGAGAGCCAGATGCACCAAAAATTGAAAACATAGACTTAGGGGCTTAAAATTGAAGCAAGGGCTACTTGGGGGTGGCACGAAATATTGTTGGCCTTGGATCTCAGCCAGATCCAAGGCTGAAAATGTGCCGCCGCAAAGAAAAATATCTCGGCCTGCCAAAAATGGGGTACAAACTGAAAAAATTGAGAAAAAGGTCCACAAGGTTTTTTTTTCTCAAGTATAATTGCCCCTTGGGCATTAGGACCCAAGGGGGCAATATTTATGAGGTGAAAAGGAGGCCGAAGTAGGCCAAGAGGGAATCTGAGTTGGTACCAACCACTCGGACTGCATGTACTTGGCCAAAAAGAAGCCCGGGTACCTCCGGAAGGGCCTAGTAGTAGATTTTTGCCGTGGGGGTACCTCGGTTCACCTCAAGGCACATGGGGAGGCCCGTGGGCTAGCCGGACTGCTGGTTTCAGCCTACATAAGCTGGAAATTCAGTCCGCCACTTTCACAATTGCATTAGGAGTGCCCATGCTGCCCAAGTGAGCTCATAGGAACACTCTTTCACTTGGAGAGAGGAGAGGGGAACCCATGCCAGTTTAGGAGTTTGGTGGAGGCCATGAGCTTGGGAGAGGAGCTCTAGAGACTAGTGGTAGTGAGGCTGGCCCTAGGGAGGTGATCCGCCATAGCCCCTGGGTGTGAGGAAGAGAGAGAGGCTATAGGGAGTCTCATTAGCCCTCCTAGAGGGGAGGACTCCATAGCTATGGTGATTGGAGCTTGTGGTAACTTGGGAGAGAGTGAGAAAGGGAGGAGAGAGGCTTGAAGAAGAAGGAGACCATAGCCAAGAAGGTGCTTTGTGCAAGGAGGAGGAAGCCTCATCAAAATTAAGACTTCATCTCCAAGATATTAATAAGGTGAGTGGAAGGAAGAAGATGCTTCTTCTTCTTCCTCTTCTTCCTTTTCTTATTCTTCCTCCTCTTCTTCTTCTTCTTCTTCTTCTTCTTCCTCTTCTTCTTGTTTTTTTTCTTCTTCTTCTTCTTCTTCTTCTTCTTCCTCTTCTCCTTTCTCCTCTCCCTCCTCCTCTTCTTCTCCTTCTTCCTCTTCCTCTTCTTCTTCTTCTTCTTCATCCTCTTCTTCCTATTGGGCTACTCAAACTCTTATTTTTCACTCATATACTAGTAGGTAGTGCTCCGATTCTTCTATGGATGATCTCATGCTCAACACTTGTGATTTGGGTTACTCAAACTCTTGTTTTTCACTCATACACGAGTAGGTAGTGCTCCGATTCGTCTATGGATGATCTCATGCTCAACACTTGTGATTTGGGCAACTCAAACTCTTCTTTTTYACTCATACACTAGTAGGTAGTGCTCCGATTCTTCTATGGATGATCTCATGCTCAACACTTGTGATTTGGGCTACTCAAACTCTTATTTTTCATTCATATGCTAGTAGGTAGTGCTTCGATTCTTCTATGGATGATCTCATGCTCAATTCTTGTGATTTGGGCTACTCAAACTCTTGTTTTTCACTCGCATGCTAGTAGGAGATGATCCAATTCTTCCATGGATGATCTCTTGCTTAAATCTTGTGATATAGCCTAGTGTAACTCTTGCATTTCACTCACACACTAGTAGGAGATGTTCCAAATCATCTATGGATGATCTCATGTTCAATCCTTGTGATTTGGGATTGTGTAGGTCTTGCTTTTCACTCACATGCTAGTAGGAGACCCTCCGATTCTTCCATGAATGATCTCTTGCTCAAATCTTGTGATATAGCCTAGTGTAACTCTTGCATTTCCCTCACATGCTGGTAGGAGATGATCCGATTCTTCCATGGATGATCTCTTGCTCAAATCTTGTGACCTAGCCTAGTGTAGCTCTTGCATTTCACTCACACACTAGTAGAAGATGTTCCCATTCTTCTATGGATGATCTCATGTTCAATCTTTGTGATTTAGGCTACTTCAACTCTTGCTTTTCACTCACATGCTAGTAGGAGATGTTCCGATTCTTCTATGGATGATCTCATGATAAATTCTTGTGATTTGGGCTACTCCCACTCTTGCATTTCACTCACATGTTAGTAGTAGATGTTCCGATTCTTTTATGGGTGATCTCATGCTCATTACTTAAGTTTTGGACTAGCATAGATCTTGCTTTTCAC